ATATTTATTTTATGTATTTTATTTGTTTTTTAATGAAAGGCAAGCAGAAATAGATGCAGCAGCAGAGTTAATTGATTTTTGGAGATTTAATTGTCAATATGCACAAGAAATATATCAACAACAACCACCTAAAAATTCACCAGGAGTATGGAACAGATTAGAGTATAGACCACTGGAGGGATTTGTTTATGCTGTTACACCATTTAATTTCACTGCAATTGGTGCTAATCTTGCAGGTGCACCAGCTCTAATGGGCAATGTTGTACTCTGGAAACCTTCCCCAAATGCCGTTTTATCAAATTGGATAGTATTGGAAATACTTAGAGAAGCAGGACTTCCTGATGGTGTCATACAATGGATTCCTGGCCAACCAGTGGAAATTACTCAACAAGTACTGAAATCACCAGAGTTTGCTTCATTACATTTCACTGGATCAACTTTTGTTTTTAAACACTTGTGGAAGGAAATTGGTAATAATATTGACATTTATAAGTCATATCCAAGAATCGTTGGTGAGACTGGTGGTAAAAATTATCATTTGGTGCATAAGTCAGCAAATGTTCCAAATGCTGTCCATCAGACAATTCGTGCAGCTTTTGAATATCAAGGTCAAAAATGTTCAGCTTGCTCTCGTGCTTATATACCTGACACTTTATGGGAACAGTTTAGCAAATTGTTGTTAAGTGAAATTGATAAAATCAAAGTCGGCCCTGTTGAAGGTAATTAACTAATTATTGATTTGTTTGTTTGTTAAGTAAATAATGAAAAGAATGGTAATAAAAATTTTCTTTTTATTTTTTTGAAAATAAAAAATAACAGATTTTACAAATTTTATGAGTGCTGTCATGTAAGTTTATTACTCGATAGTTTACAAAATGCATGATTATAATAAACAATAATCACTACCACAAATAACCACAATCACAATTAACAATTTTTTTTCTTAATCAATCAGACACAAAAATTCATTTGAAAAAATTAAGGGTTACATCGAAGGGTCAAAACTAAATCCAGAAAATGAGATTATAAAAGGTGGAACATATAATGACTCAAAAGGTTATTATATTCATCCAACAGTAATTCTGACTAAAAATCCAAAAAGTCCAACCATGGTCGAAGAAATTTTTGGGTAATTTGTTTTTTTTAAGTTGATTTGTTATTACATGATGTGTGTATATGTAAATATTAACTATATGCTTAAAATTTTATTTTTTAAAGACCTGTACTTACTATTTATGTGTATAAATCAGATGAATATGAACAAATACTTGATTTAGCAAATGAAACGACTAGCTATGCTTTAACAGGGGCAATGTATGTAAATAAATCAACAATGACATTTTTAAAAAAAAAACACTCAATATATTTATTTATTTTTTACTTTTCCCCCAACAAATAATTTTATTAGATTTGCACAAGATCGTTCGGCGATAGCAAAAGCAGAAAATAAATTACGGTATGCATCAGGTAATTTCTATATTAATGATAAGGCTACTGGTGCCATAGTGGGCCAACAACCTTTTGGTGGTGCTCGTGGATCTGGAACAAATGATAAAGCCGGGAGTCTCACTTTGGTAATTATTATTAAAAAATTTTTTTTTTAAATTGATGTGTTTGGAATGATTTATTAATTTATTGATTGGTTGGTTTTTGGATATATATAGTTGTATCGATTTGTCTCAATGCGTACCATTAAAGAAAACTTCATTAATATTGATAACTTTTTCTACCCGTCAAACCTTGGTTAAAATTGATTTTTATAAAATGGATGAATTTTTGGTTATTTAATGTATTTTTCACTATAAAGTTATTAATAATCATGGTGATTTTATAAAATAATTGATGAAAAATTTATTTGTATTATCATCTAATCATCTATTTATAACAATATAAATTTACAAGAAAATAAAGATTATAAGTTACTTCCCATTAGCAGGAATTGTGGTCAACAGACTGTGAGCTAAGTCTATTTTCGTAACAAAGTAATTTGTTGTCCTGCATCAGAGAAAAGTCCTTCTGAAGAAGGAATTGCCAAATATTTTTTGGCTAAAATAGCAAGTATTGTGAATTTTTTTTCATTATCACACCACGATTTTAATGGTTCATTTTCTTCAACAGGAAGTACTTGGGTATGTTTTTATATAAAACAACATCGGTTTATCGTGTATATTCAGTTTATCAAAGCATTGCCTTAACGAGTTCTGACTGTATGTTTTATTCATTATATTCGTTATATTCGTTATATTCGTTATATTCGTTATATTCAGTTTATTCGTTATATTCGTTATATTCGGTTTATTCGGTTTATTCGGTTTTATTCGGTTTTGTTTGTTTATTCGAATTATTCGTTTTATTCGCGTTTATTTGAATTATTCGCTTTATTCGCTTTATTCGTTTTATTCCTTTTATTCATTTTATTTGCTTTATTCATTTTATTTACTTTATTCGTTTAATTCATTTTATTTGCTTTATTTGCTTTTATTCAAATTACTATTATTCATTTTATTCGAATTATTTTTTACTCAAATTGAATAGAAACCACTTAAGATTATGATATTATTTTAGCACAAAGAGCTTTAGAAATATTTACAATATAAAAGAGTTATTGGTTTATTAAATTAAGAGGATTAATTTTAGAAGAATATCTGATAAATATCAGCACTTTCAACATTTACAAATAGGCTTTTAGACTATATGATAAAAATACTAAGAATATTATTAATTTATCAGTATGCTAATACTTTGATTGTTATTTTTTTGCTGATACCACATTACCCAATTTTGCATCATTTGAAAAAAAGAACCAATAGATTATATATATATAAGCAAAGAAAGATGTGACCTAAATTAGCACAAAAGAATTTTAAATACATAAACATGATAGCTTGATTGACATAGTGGTGCAGTCTTGGATTCCATGCAATTTTTTTATTGTATATTTTAAATACAATTAATCATACATCTTTAATAAAACAAACATGACTTAACTATTTGATCATTTCCTTGTATGTGAATACCTCCATCCATCAATTATTCATGATGGTCATGATTATTATTCAATACATTTGATATCATCATTGACGTAACAAACAATTGCATCACCAGGTAGTAATAACACCAAGGCCATGCATAAATGAAACTTTTAATAATGCATGTCTACCCAGATCTCTGGGGTTCATAATAATAAATAAATAAATGGGTAAGATCAAAAAAAAAATTTTCCTTTTGCATTGTGTAGTTCCTTATGAATAATAAATCTGATGTTGATTGCAGGTGTCAGGTTTAATTAAAATTTTCCTTTCACAAACATGTAGTTGGGTGCTTTTAACACGCCTCATAATTGTGGAATTTTTTCCCACAGGTGAAGTTCCCCAATGTTGGAAGGCTTTGGACAAAACATTCCCTTGTCTTCCTCTCAGACCAGGCTTGACTGTTACCATATGAGCATTGATTGCTGATGAGAGTTGGCATTTATGATGCGCCCACCAACAACCCTATCCCCATTTACTTAAATAACAAATTCAGTTGACAAATAAAAATTAAAGAGAAACAGAGAATTTGGGAATAATTAATTTATAACATACCAAACAAAATCCGAACCATTTTATGACTTTTTTCTTGTTGGCCATATTGCTGACAAAGATTTATATAATCATGCAATAATTTTAATTTACGGGACAAAGGACTGATTGGGAAAAAACCCCTACCAAAAATTATAAATTTGTTAGTTTCAAAGAAACAGAGCATTTAGGAAATGATTATACAAAACAAACACTATTTTACAACTTTCCTCTTAACATCAGAGTTCAAATGCAATTTCAGAGCCACCAACCCTGTTCTGAATTGCGACCTCCTGTGCTTGGAACGAGTTGCAGATTCTCTTGATATTCCTTCAGAGTTGCAACATCTTGGTCACAGAGCCATCCTTACCCAGAGGTGGGATCGTTGCAGACAACTTTTCAGCTAGCATGTCAACAGCCTTCCCTGGTCTGGGAAGATTAGTGAAAGTGCCCTTGACAATTGATGCAATCATGATAAACTTCAGGGCATTGTCCCCCCTGAAAATTCTGTAGCATTGTTGTATCATTGGAGTGTGCAGTCCGATTAGCCTTGTGTACATGAGGAATACGTGAGAATGACTGCAAGTGTTCAAAGTAGCGTGCGTGCTTCAACATCTGTAAATTTTCGATAATCGAATGTCGCATATTTGAATTGTTTCTTCTGTAACAGTTGGTCATGCTGCCTTGGCATCTTGTGATTATAATAATATAATATTATTGATTACAAAAAGCAAAATGCCAACCATTTGTTATCTTGATGAGGATCTTATAATTAACCATCCCGTGCTTTGATTTCAATTAAAATATAAACTAAATATATATCAATACAAGTAAAAAATAGTGCCTCTGGTTAGTTATTAACACGTCTTCTTTAGGAGATTCGCGTTTTGTCATCTTTGGACTCTGTCAAAAAATAAATTGTTTTTTCTTGTGTATCGAGAATAAAGATTTCATGGGCCTGTTGGAAGACGGAAACGTAAGGGTTAGTTCCATGGAGCATATCCTGAAGCTCCGCCAGTACAGTAGGATTCAGTTGGAGTTCATTTTCAGTGTCGTAGAAGTAAATTTCTGCAAACTGTGGTTGTGTACCGTCTAATTTTTAATTTTTAATTTCTAATTCAATTTTTTTCTTGTTCCGTCACGCATACGTCAAACGTTTTATTTATTTATTTATTTTTTCAGATTCCATTAGGGCGCTGACATATATTAGCTAATATCATTTTAATAGTAGCACTTACTCCCCCACCCCCAGGTAAGACATTTTGATCACGTGTATGACAATCATTTGCCTTTTTAGGTATCAACAAAGCACAAGCGAAAAAA